AGTTTGATGATGAATATCTTTTGAACGCTTAATTTATTTGCTAAAACATAAGACACCATTTTTATAGAGCAGTTAATTTCCTATAAAAATTTGTATTGCGCATTTTTTAATAGTCATTTATTGTCGAGTTATAAAATTCATAAACAAAAATGAAATTTGTCTTAAAATAATCAAATTTAAATCGTCAATATCATTCAAATGGTGAGGTTTACGGAAAAAATATGATACCTTTTTTTGTAGAGCATTAAATTTCCTACAAAATTCTTCTAGAACATTTTTCTCTACAATCATATAATGATGAGGTATGAATTTTATTCTATTGGACTGAGAAAAAAATAAAAAATTGCGATGCGGAGGATCTTCCTATTAAAATTAAGAGCTCATATTTGGTGAGAATTTTTTTAAGGTGTCTAGTATCCCATTTTTCCGTGTCACTTGTAAAAAAAAAAATAATTGATTTTTTTGACCCACCCTAATATATATATATACAATCATACCCCAATAAAAGTATATATAAAAATACCAATAATTCGATCATTTAAAATAATGATATATTCGATTAGTATTAATGTTTATTGTTCTCGTTCAAAAGTAAAAGGTAAACTTAAGTGTATATACTAGATTAAAAAGGTGTGCCATATATTTTAAACCGGATTCAAATGGGATAAGGTTATTGCTCGTAAGTTGATCGTTTACCTAACATCTATGGTTATATAAAGTTTTATCTAAAAAAAAAACAAATAAAAATAATTTAATATAATACGAATGATTGAACAAACAACGGTAATATATTACTCTAACATCGATAATGGTTATATTATAATTATATATAATATAATTACAAAATAAAATAATAATAATTTTATATGTAATTATATATATAATAGTATATTTAATGTATAATCATATATAATAATAATAATAATAATAATAATAATATATAATATAATTTTTATATTTACTATATATTATATGTATTATATTTAATTTTATTTTTTATTTAATATTATAATTATATATTATATATTATTTATAATATATAATTTTATATATAATATATAAAATATAATATATATTATATAATATATTATGAAAATAATACATTATATTTATTATAAATATATATATATATAAAATATATTTATTTATTTTCTTATTATTATTAATAATAATAATACTTTTTACGAGACATTATTTTTTTTTTTATTACAAAAAATATATAAGATTAGATCCTTAGGAAATTCAAAGGATCTCCGTTCCAATCGATATTA